GTCATACATCCGATATGTCAGATGATGTGTATATTTTCATATCATCACAAAGCCTCAACAACTCTAAGTTAATCTGACGAGTGTAATCCTGCTCCTGATGTGCTTGGTGAGTAAATATAAATTAAGCTACAATTTAAGAACAACTTTTTACTAAAAAAGAGTCGATTTGCAGATAGAATCTAAGAATGCATTTCAGTGAAAAAGTAAAGATTGAAAAATATAAATTAACGGCCATGTGCAATTTACAACCAGTGCTCGTGGTAGTGGAACGGAAGGAATCTGTCGCTTAGACAGGTGAGCCTGACTCCAACCTGCATAGCGACATGGTGAGATCACCACTGCCTCTTTGAACATGAAGTTTTCTAGAATTCTCCGTCGATGTTGGGATTATGCTCGAGATATTCCTTGAAACAGAAACGGATTTTGTCAAACTGGCTCAAACACACGATATATTTTAAATAATCCGTAGGGACTCCATTCGTTGTTTCGCAGTAGACGATGCACTGCTCAATCACCTTAATTACGTATATTTCATGAAAACTTTTTTAGGGCTGTGTCATAAATTTTTACAAGGCATAACTTACTCCTTGCCTGCGGCAGCAAGGGGTGTGATCTACTCGAGAAGAAGCGCAGTCCCACATCTGACCAACGGTAGGTCCTCGTGGAGCACATTGGGCCATGAAGCCAATCACCTGAAAAAAATCTTACCATACGCTAGATTTTATCGCCAAGGAAAATAATGGGGCAATAAGGATATTACGACTAACATGCGTATTATTAATTTTGACTAACGATATGTTTTTAATTAATCCTAAAAGGGTAGCCAAATCTTCAATCAAACAATCAAAACTAACTCATCGTTAAATTATGCAGAAACATATGCATCATCACCGCTAGAGTTGGGCGTAGACTTAAATATTACTTTTGCTGCGTAGCTATGAAAGATGAGAATAGGGAATAACGATTAGCATGTTTGTTGAGTGTTCACAAGAAATATGTATATATTTTGATGCATTGATGTGCTTGTAAGACGAAACATAGATATCTTATTCACTCCTTAGATAGCTTTCCATTTAGAGTTTTCAGTATTAATCGCCATATGGGGTTCTTTCAAAAAAATTGAGGCACGGGGGGCCTCTTCAAAAAAGAGTTTCCTTCTCCATGGTGCAAATTGCAACATTATTATATTGAGTGTATCATTGAAAAAATGTTGAAGAATTTAGCATTCTCAATAAATGAAACGAAGTTATATTTTCCTAATGGATTTTAACTTGGAAAAAATTGTACCATTTCAGGCCTCAAGGCGTTGAAATCGCAAAATCGTCGTCGACATTCAATGTCAGCCTCTTTCAGACCTCTGCAGCATGTTCGCAATTTTTGATTGGCATTTCGTCGTCCGGGAATGCCATATCTAGGAAAAGTAAAACGTTGTAGAAAGGCGTTAATGTCTAGCAGCCTCTCTCAAGACATCTCCTGTATAAAACAAACTATAAAAAACTCCTGAAGACACGCAAAAGGGTGAGAAATGCTGTGATACATTAGTTTGCCAGGAAACAGTAGATCATATGTAACCCTTTTAAAAGTTTTGACTGTGGTATTGTATGGTACTTTACTTAAGTTTTTTGACCATATTACTCGCCTTAGGCTGAATATCTCTCTTCAAGGGAGCAGTTATGATCTTGATAGAGATTGAAAAAGATGGAAGACGGAACTACGAGGACTAGTTTCGCATTTAGAACGCGAGAAAAACTAATATGCTTTATTTAAACGACCGACGGCATTTAAATTTTTCTAGCATATGACCCTTAAAGAACTATTTTTAATATATACCCATCTCTAGAAAACTAATTTTATATTCCCATCGCTTAGTTTGCATCACATTGTGGTTGAAAAGAGCAAGGTTCTTTATATGAGGGACAAGTATTTGCAAGGACCTGCTAGCGGTAAACTTACTCCAGATTAGTACCGAACCATGGAGTAATGCAGCAAAAAACTTTCCATTAAGTTTGGCTTTTTTAGTGTATGGTGAAATAACGAGAAAAAAGGTCTGGAAGGCTCTCAATTCCGTGGTCCGATATTCCAGTCATGGATTCTTGAGCTCGTCGTAAACTTCTTGAACATTTTTTAGCTTTAATACACGTAACAGCATTATAGCTGAAGAATGTTTAAGATGTTTACATAGGCTTAGCTATTTGTAGAGCACAACAGAAGATTGTAAGGAAAATCACCGGTGTCTCTATCAAAAGAGTGCGATGCAAACAGCCGCGCAGACTTGGAAATGTCTTCCTCCAAAGTCTTACATTCGCATAACCGCCATTTTCACGCCTCATTAGCTGATTGAGTTATTTTTGATTGAAATCTATAAGCCACATTTTCACCGCTTTCAAAGCAAATCCATAACAGTCTTTTGCCACTATGTTCCACTGGCACTCTTTCATCATACAACTTCAAATTTCAAGCTTCCCAAGTTTCATAGAATACTCAGTGATTAAGTAACATTGAAATGAGGAGGCAAATGAAGACGCTGAGAGCTCTACTAAAGGGAGAAAGCTTTCAGCCTCAAATATTCAAGATTTCAAATGAGCCATAATATCTCAAATTTACAGCACAATCGAAAGAGAGCAAATAGTGAATTTTGGAATCAAACCACAGGAATTATGCAGCTGTGCCAGTTCTAAAAAAATTTTTTTTTCATAACAGAAGGTTTTACAAACTTTTAGAATAGAACAATTGTGTTTTTCATAACATTTATAACACAATCTATGTAGACTCACATGACTTGCGTTCTGCTGATTGTCTGTTGCTGTGGGGCCGCGAATGCGTTGGCTGCACCTGGTCGTCGAAATGGCTGTTGAGGTGCTGGCTGCTGAAGACCAGCGAATGGATTCCATTCCCACTGAGCAATTGTTGGCGGAATAACAAGGAATAACAGCAACATCTGCAATTTTAAATAGATGAGTCAGTGGATGGCTTACAGGGTGATAACGCTATCGAAACCGCTTAGTCGCTGCATACGAGTCCGCGAGAGCGAGAAGCGGGTATCGGATAAGGAGCGACGAAAACGAATGCGGGGAAGAAAGCGCAGAGCGAGTTGTGGAGTCAATCCGGGCTTATGAAGCCACAAAGTGACAACTTGAAAGCGGAATCACATAGTTGCAACAGGTTGCAGGATGGTAACCAGTACGAAAGTGTGTCCGGCACGCTGCATGACATCTACCTTGTCACAGTCAGATGCAGCTGACGCAGTGGGTTGACTGGGCTGTGGCCTGTTG